ACACACACACACACACACACACACACACACACACACAAACACACACACACACACTCACACACACACACACACACACACACACACACACACACGCACACGCATACATACACAAACCTAAAAATCACACATACATTCATACACTTCCATAATTAGTATTATATAAAGAATACTGTAAATTTATCGTTTTCATTTAATTTCTTTTTTTTTTTTTTAATTCTCTTTTTATTTTGTCTCTCATTTGTATTATGTTTTGCTGACTGAAAGAGACTGGGCCTCACGACACAGGGAATCCTAGTGTGGGGTCCAGAGCCATATAAATATGTAATGTGAAGCTTTTTGTCAATAAAAAATATTTTTTTTTTTTTATTTTTATATTATTATAATCAAGTTTCATAGGAAGTGTTTTGGTAAAACAGTATGGAATTGACAGTTCAATTCAATCGACTCCAGCGACGATACGCTACCTATCGGGATAAAAAGTTAGTGTGTTTGTGTTTCATTAAGAGTAAGCCTCATGGTCATGGACATGTTGCGCATCAGCACTTTAATAGCTGTGTAATGGAACATGTCTTTAAAAATATATGTGTACATGGGAAACGACGCGACGCTGCGACGACCGGACCACGCAATGTCCATAACGCAACGGACAAAAGTCGCATCGCTCTTATTCGTTTTAAAGACGACTTAGAAAAAAAAAGTCACTTTGAACTGTCAACTGTCACTGTTTCACCATCAATTAATGTTCAACCGTCAGGCGTCAATGTCATTCATTAAATTGCTGGTTATTACTTGTTTGAAGAGAAGAGTAATTTGATATTTATGTATTGTTTAGTACACATTCTGGTCCCGGCTAGTTGACTAGACTAGCCATTGCTTTATTTACGCTCGTTGTTTTACAACTCACAGTTAGAGGCGCGTTAAACCAAATTAAAATTCGCACGTTTTACTGAATTCAGTTATTAGGGAGCAAACAAGGAATAAATAATGTTCAACCAGCCTAGCAATCCAAACAAAGATTTGGAGGTAACTTCTCCACCGGATGACACCGTGTCGGCGCTCGAATTTTCACCACCCGCACTACAGCAAACCTTTCTAGCGGCTGGTAGCTGGGACTGTCGGGTAAGTTTTACTTTCAAGTAGTGTTATAATAATAGTAGACACTTTGGCGCGCCGGTAACTCTGTAAAGTTAATAACTGGTTTTGAACTATCATTCCAGTACTGTTACTGAAGCTAGATTGAGGAATAGATTGTTATATCTTCTGTGCAATTGTTCTACAACAAAAACAGAGCTGCTATTGTGCTTCTGACTCGTTAATTGTTACAGTTTCCTTAGACAGAGGTATTGTTTTTGTTTTGTAAGTTGTGTAAACATGTTGGTACAGGTTTAATACAATTCTTTCAAAATAAATATAAATATTATGCAATTGTCATAAAATGAGTCATTCATGAATTATGTTATTGTCTTTGGATAAACAAAATCTAATTTAAAATAGACATGTGGAAGATGTTACTCCCATGTAAACAGACTGGAGATTGAGTGGGAAAGGTCTGTTGTGTTTGTAAGTATTGCTAATGGTGTATTTATTTATAATAGTAAATAAGGGTCGCCAAACAATGTCACACACACAACTTGTGCAAAATAGAAACATTTAATATTAGGTAACAGGCACTGCACGCACATTCATATCCTGCAACATATTTATCATCCGTGCACCTGTCAAAACTGATATGTGCAAACATTTTGATATTTTTCTTTGCTAGATGTCCTTCAAATCAATCGGATTGTGCATTGATTACAAAAACAAATATGTTATTTTCCCTCTAGAAATCAATTGGACAAAACTTATATGCATATGTTATTTTAATTTCATTATGGTATGAGCTGGTAAACGACCGGACTGCCCATTGCTCACCTGAGAATTGGGAATTTGAGGATTGTGGAGGATTCGGGGAATGGGGATACTGAGGAGGGGGGGGTAATTGGGCCTCCGGTAACCTCACTCACACGACGGAACACAACGCAAGCGCAATCGTTGATTCATGTTGGTTTTCAGTGAGGTGAGGTGTCAGAAATTGCAGCATCACATAGATAGTATAGCAGATTGAATTTCAACAGTTTTTGTTTAAAATTTTTACCCTTTTCTATGATAAATCAGTATCAATCACAAATAAAGGTTTCATTTCATTTCAATATGTGCATCAAATGAGAAAAAAATTATTGGAGATAGTATGTACATACATGTACACGGGTTAAAATAGGCCATGAAAGTTTGTACAAATCTTTGTCAGTTTTAAAACGATCGGATTGAAAGTCGGCCTGCAGGTAGATATTATAGTGTAGGCATCCGTTAAGAATTGATTTTGGTTAACTCCACCCACAAAGGGATAAAATAGGTCATGAAAGTTTGTATAAAACCTTGTCAGTTTTAAACCAATGGGGTTGCGATGCGATATGCAAGTAGATGTTATCGACGTAAGCATCCTCTATGAAAGTATTTTGATCAAGCGAATAAAATAGGGAATGAAAGTTTGTATGAAACTTTGGTAGTTTTTTATCAATTGTACCCCAGGCCCAAAGGGTGAATCTCCAATAGGAGATGAAAGTTTGTATGAAACTCTGGTCAATTTCAAATTAATCGCGCTGAGACTTTGCATACTTAAAGCTACTATGATGTAGGCATCTCCTAATAAAGAATTTAGATAAATTCCGCCCCTAAAAAAATAAAACGAGAATTTGTTTATACAAATTCCGTGTTCAAATGTTGCGCATTAGGAAGAACCCCTCCGTGGTTCGAAACTAGTAGAGCTTTTCTCAATATATTCACGTGCCCGCGATTTTTATCTCGATCTTATCTTTCCAAAATCTTATTTGTCTTTTTTCTGGATCTCCTAAGCAATAACAGAAGTGCACACTTCTTTTTACGATCCATGCCACGACCTAGTCTTCATTTTATAATACGTTTAGTACGGTTGACGGTCGTCGAAGTACTGGTGGGACTGGGAGACGCCTTGTCGCACGAAATGGCATCGCAGCAATTCGCATCGTAATTTTTGGGTTGCGAATTCGCATCGCATTTTTGTGTACGAGACCTAAGTGTGCGACAAGAGCCATACATTCGGCATGGATGGGCCGGCTCGACCGGAGTGATACCACGGCCTCACCTAAAACTGAAGTGAAGCAACGCTTGCTCTTGTTTTCGTCATGTGAGTGAGGTTCATCGACCGCCTGTTCTCGTCCACTGCTGGACATAGGCCTCCCAATAGCACGCCACTGAGCTCGGTCAGCTCGGTCTTCAGCTCTACGCATCCAACCATTACCAGCCACTTTGTGGATATCGTCACTCTAGCTGAAGGACGCCCTTACACTACGTTTGGCTCGATGCGGTTTCGGCCGATTTTGGCCGAAACCGAAACTGCCGCCGAAACTCGGCCGAAACCGAACGTTCGGTCGGACACTATCAAAAACCGTGGACTTACATCTACAGGAACTGAATTAAATTTGTTTTTTCTTTGTTCTGTGGCTAAGTTACATCTTAATGCAAGCACAAAGAGTTAAATATTATGATTGTAGGTACGATGCTGGGAAGTGGAGACGACAGGCAAGACAGTCCCGAAGGCAGTGCAGAGCATGGACGGGCCCGTGCTGGACGTGGCGTGGCACGACGTCAGTATACACTCGCTACTACTTGCCGCTGCCCCCTACTGTATAAATTACTTGGTTTTCGTGTTTGTGTTTGCAGGATGGCAGTAAAATCTTTATGGCGTCCACAGATAAGAGTGTCAAGTGCTGGGACTTGGCTTCGAATCAGTGCATGCAGGTAACGTACTTGGACAATTCCCGCACTCGCAAGTCGCAAAGAGTGCACTCGTCGCTCGTACAGCGTGAGCTGACGCATGTGTTGTGTTGCAGGTGGCGGCGCACGAGGCGCCCGTCAAGACGTGCCACTGGATCAAAGCACCCAACTATACCTGCTTGATGACCGCCTCTTGGGATAAGACACTCAAGGTAAATACAGGTCCCCAGTTGTATAACTAAGAAATACAGCAACGCAACAAACACATTTATTTGTCAGTATGGTTATAGAAAAAAGCAATACCTACTTAATCCCAACTTCACGATAATAAATTACGAATTTAAATTAACATTTTGAATATGAATGATTATAGTTAAAACAAATTGATCGACTACTTTTTCAGTTTTGGGACACCCGCAGCCCAGTCCCCATAATGAATATGAACTTGTCGGAGCGGTGTTACTGCGCAGACGTGGTACGTATAGCGAGCTGGCGCGAGTGGTGCGCGCCCCGTCCTGCAGCCAGCTCATGACTTGTGTGTGCAGGACTACCCGATGGCCGTGGTCGGCACAGCGGACCGTGGCATCTGTCTCTACACGCTAGAAGGCAAGCCGGCGGAGTTCAAGCGCGTCGAATCGCCGCTCAAACACCAACACCGTTGCATCGCCATCTTCCGCGACAAGAAGACCAAGCAGCCCACTGGCTTCGCACTCGGCAGTGTCGAGGGGCGCGTGGCCATTCAGTACGTGAACCCCACTAACCCCAAGGACAACTTCACGTTCAAGTGTCACCGGCCACCTGCTAGCACCACAGGGTATCAAGTAAGTAACGCGCGCGGCGCTCGGCCGGCCCCGGCGCGGCTCTCGTCTAACGTACTGACGTCGGTCCGCAGGACATCTACGCAGTGAACGACATCGCGTTCCACCCCGCGCACGGCACGCTGGCCACGGTGGGCTCGGACGGCTCGTTCTCGTTCTGGGACAAGGACGCGCGCACCCGCCTCAAGTCCTCGGAGATGTTGGACCAGCCGCTTACGAAGTGCGCCTTTAACCACAACGGACAAATATTCGCGTACGCCGTTGGCTACGACTGGTCCAAGGTATGTACTAGTGAAGTCCCTCGCGATGCTCGATGGCAAGCTGGGCGTGCACATTAGGCCAGTGAGATTGTTATGTTCATGTGTACCTGTTGCAGGGCCACGAGCACTTCAACCCGGCCAAGAAGAACTACATCTACCTGCGCGCTTGCTACGAGGACCTGAAGCCGCGCACAACGTGAGCACTGCGCCCTCTGCCGACACGTCGTGACTGCGGCCTTCAACACCACAACTTCAGTTTTTGTAAAAAAAAACTGCCCCTTTATGTAACTCATAATATTACTTAAATATTGTGATATGAGTCGAGTCCAATTGTAATTTTGTTTTATATTTTTAGGCATATCTTAATAAAATAAACAAATGATTGTTGCAATACTAAGTTGTAAATTAATGTTTACCTGTTAGGTTAAGGCCTCACGGCGCAACAATATTGCCGACGAATGCTGCGACAGACTGCGGTGCGGAGGTGCGCTTTGGGTACATTAGAATAAATTTCAGCAAGTCCAAATAAATTGTTCGAAACAGAGTTTCATTCGAAAATAACTTTTTGTGTAGAATTTAAGAAATCATGTAGGGAGTGATATACCATTTTGGAATCCTTATTATTTGTGCCAACTTTGGTGAAATTTACCGCAAATAGAACATTACATTCTATTTTCAGTGCAGTCACTTAAAGTAAATTGATTTATTGCGAATACATACATAAAAAAATGATATTTTTCCGAACTAAAGCAATTGGCTCAGAATTTATGATTTCATAATACTGATGCACTATTCAGGACAACGTAAGCAAAATAATAGACGAAAACATTAAGAATGTAGCAACAAGAGTCAAAAGACTGGCACAGGACGTACTTAATTTTTCATGGATAACACATTCATTGTAATTTTAAACGATTACAGTGACTACAATGACTGCCTCATTGGCTGTGTGGTCGCAAGTGCGACTGCCGGCAAGGTGTGCGTTACCCAGGCCAGATGTTGTCGAAAATGGTCATTTGAATCTTATAGATAATTAGTTGTGCGGCTTCTGTAATTGTTGCGCACATTTTTAAATTTGTTGCACTTATAGTTTTTTAATTATTTCACAAAAACATTTCCTGCTGGGGTAACGTTACCCCAGCCAGACCTTTTTCTTTCTAATGGGAATATTTAAATAATTACTAGCTATAAAATTAGTTGTCTAGATGAAGTAAATGTTGCGCCTTGTTTTGTATTTGTTCTTTCATCGGTTGTGAAGTTATTCGAGATTTTGCTGGGGTAACGTTTTGGATTTTGCTAGATCTTTGAAATGGTTAAGCGGATTCTTATCATATGTGGTACATGGCTTCTTATTAATTAGTTCAAATTTGTTGTGCAATAAAAAAACCAAAATAATAAATAGCTTAAAAGTTATTCCATGAAATAGAAAAACACTTAAATTGGTCCCAGCACTCTCAATAAGAGCTCTAAAGACTTACTTTAAACGTTATTTAAAAGCTTGTGACTGCCTTCAAATGTATGTGAAGTTTCATCAGTATCCTGTCAGTATTCAACAAGTTATGATGATATTGAGTTCTTCACGAGCACGGTCTTGATGCGCGCGGTGTTATTTGGCCACTGGATTGGATATTTGAACTGAATGATATGTCAATAATTAGTTGTTTAGTTCAGTTATACATCAGTAAAATTTCAGCTCAGTACATTGGATAATTAATGAGATAATACGATCAAAGTCATTAGGAAGAGAATGATCGTGGTAATCCGACCAAGTTTAGGTGGTTACGAAAAAGCGAAAACGCAGAACAGCACGGAGTCTGGAAATGTGCCCGGTAGGTACCTATATGGCAATAGGCCATCCCCTCTTTTACATCGGACTCATAACATAGATAGTGAAAAGTAGGTAGTATTACATTGTAGTGTCATAATGTGCACCTCTGCGGACTCTGGAGAAGATCATCGCGCCTATCGAGCCTTGTGCCTTCAAATTTGTCGCGTGACGGCAGCGCGGCTGTTTCTCTGTTGCGCCCGTCATTTAGGTGTTATACGGCACATTGCGACTAATTTGAAAGCGCCCTTAGACTGAGCTTGAGCCACCAGGGACTAGACGTTTCTTATTTACCTGTGTCCATAAACTGTAACGTCAATTAGGCATTCTATACTAATACTACAGTCTATACAGTCGATGTCTAGACAGGGCAATCGTGCGGGCTGTGAGGGGCAAGACGTGGTTCGGGGTGGACGTTAGTAGCTCGGGATATATTATTCAGGGCTAATGCGTGTTTGTTTTTACCGACTTCAAAAAAGGAGGAGGCACTATGTTCGAATGATTGTTTCTTTTTTATGTATGTTTGTCGCTTCAAATCCAAAATGGCAGCTGCACGACATTTTTAATTTATCGTCATAGGTATCTCGTTTTCATGGTTTTCGAGAGTGGTAAAACCGATGGTGCTGTAAAAATGTATTGCACCTATGTGGATTTATTAGTGGCAAAATGAGTCTATGTAGCTTTACACTAAAACTTTTTTTTTTTAATAAAACGTTGCCCCACACTAGGATTATCTCCTGTGTCGTGGGTGCGTTTACAAACATACAAGTTCACATACACATGACACCCAGACCCGAAACAACAATTTGTGGATCGCACAGTGTTGTTCCGTGCGGGAATCGAACCCGCGACACGTTGCACGGCAGCCGGTTGCCCAGCCACCGCACCAACCGTGCAGTCAAACACTAAAACTGATAATATAAACTGCGTTTAAAAAACTGAATTCTCAAAAAAAGTAAAACAAATAAAATTACTCTTTATTAGTTTAGTACCTACTGGTGAATTACTCACCCACTGACCGACTTCTAGTCGGTGCCATAAGCTCGTATATATTAGTTTTGTACCTACTGGTGAATTACTCACCCACTGACCGACTTCTAGTCGGTGCCATAAGCTCGTATATATTAGTTTAGTACCTACTGGTGAATTACTCACCCACTGACCGACTTCTAGTCGGTGCCATAAGCTCGTATTTTTACAACCCTGGCTGATGCGTTACTGTCTTGACGATGTTGGCATTTTACACAAGATCAAAGGTGTCGTCCTAAATGATTTTTATACTGTGCTAATACTTTAATACCGATGTCGCAGATGTAGAACATGGAGAACCAAGGATGACTAAGTATTGGATGCCCTGAAGTCTATATTGGCGTATAGGCAGCCATTTGAATATGACTTGCTACGCGGATACCTACGTGCTCATATACTTATATATTATTTACGTAAATTAAAGACGAATATGAATCAAATTGCCTAATTGACTGCCTCGTTGGCAGATTTGCCGATACGGAGCTGCGGAGGACTTGTCTGGTTACCGAGGCTCCGGCTCGAAGTAGGAACGGGGCGGTTTTTAGTCAGTCAGGGTCTGACACTTCTCCCGCCTCACCCAAGCGGGAGAAGTCATCTACTGATACTTACCTCTTAAAAAAAAATTAAAATATCGATGATTGAAAATCCAAAGCCTGTACAAGCACAGCCAATATTTGTACACTGAGCGTCAAGTTCTCGTAGATAGTGTTAAATGAACAGTGTTGGGGCAATGGGACCACTCTGTTATTTACAGTACAAGTGAAAAGACTTGGTATAGATTGGGTTTCTAGTGTTTTTATTTCTATACCCTAGCCAATAGTAATATAGCAATCAAAGATAACAATTATGATACATTAAATAACACGTCAGTGGTGGTCGTGGTCGTCCTTGCCGCCGAGCGCCTTAGTGGCGGCGACGGTGAGCAGGGCCAGCCCCAGCCCGAGCGGCGCGCCGCGGAAGAACACGGCGCGCGCGCGAGCCCACTTCGTGCCGAACCCGGGGTGGTAGCGCCACGCTTCATTCCTGCAAGTATCGATTTATTACTACCACTCTTTGTACACCACTGAAGTCACTGAACAGAGGATGGATCACAGGCGCACTAGAAGCTGAAACATTATCTGAGTACCTCAGCCAGGCCTTTACGCCAAAAACATCAACAATGTCAGATTTTGAGGGAAATAGATGCCATCGTCAAGTGAACAGCAATTAACACTGCCTATAAAGCTTATCACACGCAGGGAGTTACATTGTTTCATCAACCACCTTCGAGTAACAAAAGCCCCAGGTTATGAACTCATTACTGGTGTAACAATTAAACATCTACAAAGAAAACCTATAGTGTTCCTAACAATGCTATTCATTGCTATTTTAGACTGCACTACTATCCCAAATTATGGAGAGTGTCACAAATATGTATGATACTAAAGCAAAGAGATGTTTATTTATTATTATCTTTTACCCACGGCTTTGCTCGCGTCACAAAGGGTAAAAAGTAGCCTATGCGACATAAACCAATACACACAGCGCCATCTATACCAATACTTTCGTTTTCCCTTGGGAATATCAAATTTTTCCGGGATAAAAAGTACCCTGTACGTAAGTAAATAAGTACCCCTTATTTAATCCAGACTTCCAACTTTACGTCTGCAAAAATTCAAAGCAATCGGTTTAGTAGTTACAGCGTGAAAGCAGAACAAACAAACTCACTTTCCGATTTATAATATTAGTAAGGAAGTAAGGATAATTAGTGATAGTAAATATGCTAATGCAGGGATAGTCACCTGATCCATGGATCACGGAGGCCCTTTTTTTCTAGTGCTTTCTCAAGTTCTTCTAGTTGAGGGATACCCTTGATGGTGAACTCCTGGTAGCTTGGCACTTTGTATGGAGGTTCATGTCCATGTCCACCCATCTAGAGATATAATTGAACACTTGAACATCAATCTCAACAGACAATCTCATACCAACCAACAGCACAAATTAATAATGAATTTCAACCCAAAATCGGTGGATAAAAATTAATGAATCTTGTATACAGTCCAAATTTCATGTTTGTAGCATTGATAGTATGTGCTTGGCCGTGATCAATGCAGCCCTGAGTCCACAATGCTTCAGTACAAATTGACTAATGTAGGGAATTAGGTATGTAAACAAATTGAAATGTTTGCCTTCAACACTCCAATTATTAATTATTATCATACTTTATCAAGCATACTTTTCTTATACAGTGTGTTGTGTAAGTGTTGTTGCTATATGCAAGTGCAATCACTAACCAAAGAGTAAAACACAAAAATTCAAGCATAACAGTGTTAATTTCTGCAATAAGTCAAAGTCAAATTACATAGTTATTACAAAAGACACTTTGGAAAACTAAACTAAATTATTTTTGTTCATTGGTCAGTATTCTAATGCTATTAATTGTTCATTTCAAATTGCCTTGTACTAATATAACTAGGCAGTCGTTGTAGAACCACAACGATTACCATGGCTTTGTATGAAGCAGGAGTTGGAATGGGTTGGTTGTTAGTCAGCAAGAATCTTAAATCACAGCGGGGAGATATATGATGAATTCCATCCTTCAAACACAAGGTTTTAAACTTCGTTTTTATAGAAGTTTTTAATTAACTCGTCAAGTACCGGTTTTGTAGACACAATTATAGAACAATAGGTTGCGGTCACCGCTGACCGATTGGTGTTTGATAGTTTAACCTCATAATTAGCAATGTGCTAATTTTATCATAATATGGTAATTGAAAAACTTATTTATTTCGAAAAACTTATTTAGAGGTATTTCTGTAGGCCTGTGATATTGCTCAAGTTGAACCGGCAGATTTGTACTGAAGTGCTCTCACTTCTCTTTCTTATGGGAACGAGAGATACACTACTTTTTGTTGACCTCCTGATCAGTCAGCTATGAGTGTTATGACGCAATCAAACTATTTTATTCCTGTATGATAATAATATTAGCCCACAGCCCATGTTGTACAGACTGTCACAAAATAAACCAATGCGATTGCACTGCTAAACATAACCCCTTGCCCTACTAGTTTATAGTTGCCTCTCCCTGCGAAGTTGAAAGCGACTGCATCTGGCGACTCTTTGCGATCTTAATCAGATCATATAAAGATAAATAATATAGTTATAATAATTATACAGAGGTTGTTAGTCAATCTAGGCATCCACCTACATCTAAAGCGGAACGAGCCATGTTTCTTAGTAATCTTTTATGTTTACTGTACCGCATTAGAGATTATAATTATCCAATAGCATTTTATACTACTTTTTAATGGCAACAAAACACAATTATAACCTTATGTATCATTACATAATTATTCCTATTTATCTACATGACATATGATTTGTAATTTATAACCAAAGCATTAATTCTAACTATTTATACAATTCTATTGCATTGTTGTTAAAGTAAACATGTACCTTTTTTATTTTTTGTAAATAAAAATCTTCACGTATCCCTCTCTGAAATTATTAATTAAAAATGTCATATGTCAAGTTAATTTGTCAATTTTTTTGTCACTTTGACAAAACGAAACCCAATGTTTTGACATTGTCAAAGACTAGAGCTGCAAACTACTTACTAAAATTTACTGTTAAAGAATTCTATTCTATATGACTAATTAACTAGCACCACTCGGGAGTTGGCGAGACAGGCTGGTCATAGTCATAGATGTAATAATATCCTCATAACTGTGGTCCATAGATTTAGAAATATAACACTGTGGTCATAGTATTTTTAGTCATGACTTCACGTATTTAGTTGTAGGCATGGATGTAGTTATAATACGTCCATGGTTGTGTGTAAAAGTTATAGTACTTATTACTTCCATGGACGAAACAAACTTTTTTCAACATCTTGGGATGCATGTGTTATGGTAACTATTGAATATTTACTTTATATCAAAAAAACAATATTATTAATAAAATGTATTGTATTTTAATCAAAATAATTAGAAAGTTACTGCCTTCTAACATTGAACAAATACTTATTTTTTGATCTTGCAATAAGCACTCATATTAAAAAATTAGACAGGACTTGCTTGAAGTTTGTTGTATTTTGATAATAGGTACTGTGAATGTCGTTTCGTTAGCCGCGTCTCGCTTGCATCGTTGATGCGGCAGCTACTTGTCCGGCTTTTGTAATTTCTAGGCATTAACAGAAATGTCCAACATACATTACTGTGTCGTTGATATTGTGTATTTTACGTTGTTATTAACTAACTAATAGCTTTATTCATTATAGTGCCGAAGTGTTTTTAATTGCTTTTGTTAAAATTTGGTCGATCTACTGTCTCTACAGACTGGCTGAGAATACGTAGTGATATCAAGTTCCAGCCAATGTACTGTCTGTGTATTGTGTTATTGTGGTGTCAAATGTAAACAAAAATAGATTCGGTTGCAATCTAAATTTTGTAAAGGATTCTTAAAAGTAAAAAATGAGATGCTTTAAATTGGCGAGTTTTGCATAGCCAGTTATTAACAGACATTATTTATACCTGAAGATGTTAAGTATAGTAAGAAAGCTCGCAAGCTGGTAGTGAGACAAAGGATGGCGCCCGGAACCGGGTGGCCGGCGGCTGCAGCGCTTCTTTTGGCCATACTTGGTTTAGCGCACTCAAGTTCGGGTAAGTTAGTTGCTTCACATTTCCCTACTAGAGTTTTTTTTTCGCAACGAGTTGCCAGCCAGCATCTCAGCTGCGAGCAAGTTCACGCACACGAACTTTTAGGCACCTAACTTCCGACACTACTTACTAAGTTCTGAGATTAAGTACCTGTCGTTCGTTATTATTCTCGACTAATCAACTCCAATCAACTCGCGCCCATAATTCGTACTCCTGTAGGTATACATCTGATAGTATTTTTGTAATATTTGACTATTATGTAGTTACTTAGTATCCGTACAATACTACCTACTATCTTCGCGCTGTCTGCGACTCGTAGATTATGTAGGTAGGTACTTACGTTTTGAATAAAAATAGGTAGTTACCCTTGTGGTGTTCGTTTCGTCCCCTGTGCACTATCTAAATTCCGTAGAACCTAAATATTAAATAATATTTGGGGGTTCAAAGATATGAATATACTTTCAGTTACATATTTGGGCGATGGTTTAACTTCCAACAGCCTACACAGTGGTAAAATAACAGACAAAGGTAGCGCAGTAAAGTACTTAATATTCTACCAAGATTCTACTGAAACTTCACGCAGATACGTCAAGCACTAAGATGGTATATGATTGTAGGAAACTTGTTTTACTGTACTCTACTACGCTTATACATAATAAGTACTCTATCTATCGTGTTACTATCTATGCCGTTTACTCAATCCAAGTGTAGGTACACCAGGGCTAAGCGCGTGCATTTTTTTTATTAAGGGGTATAATCATACAATGGTCTCTCGCCTTGGGTAAGGCGGGCTCTTAATTACTAAAAATTACCCACCTACTAAAAACCACCCCGTCCCTGCTCCTGCTTCAAGCCGGAGCCTCTGCAACCAGCACGGTTCTGTGTGTATTATGGTCGATATTTAGAGTCGGGCAAAAAACTGCCGACAGAAGATGCCTGGCAGCATTCATTTCTAATTGTTTACAGTATTTCCTACAACACGTAAAAATTAGACCTCTCTGTAAAGTTAGTGCGATATTACGTAGGCTTATAGCACCCGCTACCTCAGAATTGGCCGTCGCGCGTCGTCTAAACTAGCGGGTATGTAGGTATGTATACGTTTACTGTAAACATCAGAAAATACGTTAGGTCTGGCTTGGGGATGTTGCTCTATTAAAAACATCTATAAACTGTCAGCTGTAATCGTGTTGGACGGCCACGAATAAGCTGGCTCGTTCGGAGTTATGCCAAAACAAGACCTCACACAAAACTCGTCGTGTGAGTGAGGTTACCGCGGAGGCCCAATTACCTCTCAAGTTCCAACCCTCAAATTCATGCGTGCGGAGGCACGTCGCAGGGGCGAAACTTCGCTGCCGCGCCAAGTGCGTGGCGGGAAGAGTTCCGGCGCAATCTCATGGGCGGAATGGCAGCAACGACTGTCGCAACCGAGAGCTGGGCTCGCTGCCATTGCAGCGGTAAGTCCCCTCTTTGTGGCTTGAGAGACACTACGGCGTCCTCACCTACCGCCTGACGCAGGTCCTTACCGGACATGAAAGTTTCGGGAGTTACCTGTGTCTGATGGGGCGGGAGGAAACGCCCGGTTGTCATCACTGCGAGGACCGCCCTCAGGATACCATGGAACACACAGTGGGGGAATGCCCTGCGTGGGCTGAGCACCGCCGTGCCCTCAGGGACATGATCGGCGATGGTGACCTCTGGCGTCCGGCCTTAGTGCGGGTCATGATGTGGAGCTAAGGGGACTGGGGTGCCGTCTCCTCCTTTTGCGAAGCAGTCATGCTAGCTAAGGAGGAGGCGTGACGTGTAAGGCAACGAAGCGCTGCCTCCTCGCAACCCAGCCATCGCAAATGACACTCCGGGCGTCGAGGATCGAGGGACGATCTCCGGCCACTGTAAGCGGGCTGCGGACGGCGAGCATGGCGGCGCGTCGCGTTCCGCGCGCGCCTCAAAGAGCCATCAGACCACCACGGAGCTGCGGAAAACCTAACCGGTTACCGGGGCTCCGGCTCGAAGTGCAGGAGTAGGAACGGGGTGGTTTTTAGTCAGTAAGAGTCTGACAGTCCCTCCCGCCTCACCCAGGCGGGAGAAGTCATTGCATGATTTTCCCCCCTTAAAAAAACCCTTAAATTCCTAACCCCTAAAAGGCCGGCAACGTACTTTTAACGCCTCTAGTGGTACGGGTTTCCTTGGGCTCCGTAGATTGCCCACCATCAGATGATTCGGATTATTGTTTGCCGGTTATTCCATAAAAAATCAGTGATATTCAGATGATAGCCGTGGTCTATGCCACATACCACTTACTCTTATGAAATTGTATGTACCTATTGTAGCTGCAGTACTGAATCATCAAATATTAGGAACTAGGTACCTACATACCTAGTTAATCAATGTTATTGAGTTTTACCTATAATTGAATGAATATATTTTCTTTAGTTTTTTCTGTGTAAATAATATTATTACGTAATGGTATTCGGTATTCGGATTGTATTTTAATTGTTTTTGACGTTAGACATATTTTTTTTTAATATAGAAGCACTTACAATATTATTCAATATTATATGTAGGACATAAATAAAATGAATATTAACTATTACTAAATGAAAATATATACAACTTAAAATGTAAATAACTATGAACTAAAATAGTTACACCTTAAAAAAAATATTCCTTAAGGCATCAAAAAAAAATGTTCCTCATTGCTATCGTGAGGAAGGGTGCCCAAAAGACTGGCAGCATTGCCACGTTGCATGGCAATGCTTAACCTTTGTCCAAGGTAGTAGCCAGCCATCACCTGAAGTGTCAACCATCCTCCTTACAATATCTTTGTAAAGAAAATCTGCACTTGGGCCCCACGGCCCTTAAGTTTCTACTCTAAACGGTTCGAAAGCATAATTGTCAATCAGATTATCATACTTTCGCCGTTTGAGGTTCTCGGCAGCAGCAGCGGCAGCACCGGCTCGACACAATGAGTTTGGAAGATGAGATGGCGCCAGAGTATCAACGCAAGTGGTGTCCCATACTAAAGGCCTACCCATCTGAGGGAATAATGACATACCGTCGGGTCTCTTGCCATCGTTGCGTACTAAGCCATTAGGTTCTAAAGTAGCTGGCACGCCAACGGAGACAAGAGCTCGATGAATTATGTCATTAATACTTGCGTGTCGAACAAAACGGCCTGCACTACGGCTACACGACTAGCCGTGGTGTCCGAAGCTGTTGACATCTTCACCACAACGACAACGATGAGGTGAACAAAATGAAGCCCCAAGCCTTAAACAAATTGCAGCGCGGAATGTGGTGTCGTCCAACAAAGTACCTAAGTTGGACGAAGGCAAAGCAATATATTATTATTTATTTTCTAAACTTCTTTCATACATTATAACTTTCGTGAGACATACTTAATTAATTATTATGTTTTTCGGCTTCCCACGTAATTATTTGACGAGGAACTCGACTAGTTTCATATTCATAAAGTATGCACTTTTAAAAATTTAATAAAAAAAAAATACAGTAATACATATAAAAAGCAGTAGCCCACCGGTAACTGGAGCAATCTAAGCTATTGGCGTATGTACTAGCCGTGTCTAGAAGTACTGCTTTCTGCATCAGGCACTTGACCCAACCATCTAACGCTAGCCTACTCAGGTGTTGGTTGAAGCTATTGACTTTGAGGGCATTGGCAGTTATGACTATCGGCATAAAGATTGCTGAATCCACATCCCCCATGTCGACAATCTCATGAGGTAAATCAAGATATTTTTATTTCCTTTATCATTATTAGCTTTCACGAGATTTGCGTCATGTGGGATATTATTACATCAATTTTCATTGTGCGACGGTTCGATTGATTTGTCACCACAA